CTTATTTTTATAACTAAGTTGCTGTACAATCAGTGAAGACTTGAGTTAAGAAGCTGGCACAAGTCTCCTTGTTTTGTTTAGGATACTTCCAGTTGTCAAAGGAAGTGCTTCATAGAATCTCCTCTCTACATTTCTTACTCTTCTGCAATGAGATTTTATGGCCACATCACATTGAAATGGGGATTCCTGTATGATAAGTTAAGCAACATTGAGACTGGTCAGTACCTAGATGGCTGACTGTTTGGGAATACCAGGTTCTGTAAGATTGGATGTGTCAAGCCACCACTTTGCCCCCAGCTATGGGTTAATTAGTTAGACTCGTATCACTAAATTCATTATTATAAATTTGTAGCTTTTGTTAAGATACAAACAGTAAATTTGAGATCAGATAATTTCTTCAATTGTTATTCATGTTTATTATAATCATATTATTGTCTCAATGTTGTTAATTATTTTAACATTGTTAATTATTATTACGTTGTTAAATATAATTTATTATTATAAGAGATAAATAATATCTATAATAATGAACAGAGTCAATTTTCTGTACCGTCCTTTGTTTCTCTTTATTATATATTTTTTTAAATTTGGACCAAATATACACTCCATATTTTTGCCCATGTATCATCCATTTTTGTTCTTGTTTTTGTATTTGATAATCTTCTTGGAATATTTAAACAAAGTCTTTATTCAATCCATGGAGGTAGATTGTTCTCATTCCATTTTCCAAGTTATGGAGAGATAACTAATATCAATTAATACTTACTGGTCTTATTCATCTTTGTGTTGCATGTTTATTTCTTTTCACTGAAAAATAGCATGAATTGAAACATTGTGAGTATAGCAAACATGGCCAGCATGCTGGTCTAAAATAGCAAAGTGTTTAATAATGGCAATTCTGGGGGCAGAAGAGGTAGAGTCATATCTTTCCTCAAGAGTATTTGCATGTAAATGAATATAAGAAATGCAACTGGAATTGGAACTCATCTCTCTCTAATTAACAATTCCAAGTCATTATATATTGTACCAGCCATACATCCATACTTACAGCATATGTTCCCAAATGATCATCTTGGTAATGACTGGGCTTGACATTGCTTAACTTCTGTGATTATGCAAGAACCAGTGTCTCAATGCAATGTGGTCGTCAACATTGTAGTCACTGTAGAGATTTTTTTTTTATTAATTAATCTTTCAAAGTCTTCATGTGTTCAATACTTTTATATGTGACTATACAGGGTTTATCAAAAATACTTTTACAAACTTTAGGGGTGGGTTTACTGATATCAAAACAAGATAAAATGTTTATATAAACATATGTCCAAAAGGCCATCATTGTACCACAACACAACAAATAAAAAATCTCCAAATGTCCTTTCTACACAGACATGCACCCATCAGAGCATTGACTGGAGGACCCTTTTAAATACTTCCACATGGTGTTGAATGTTTTCACATGTCCCCATGACACGTTGATGAAGTGTCTGCATTATTAATGTCTGCTGTACAAACCAATTATTTGACATGGCTCTACAGATAAAAATCCAAAGGATTGAGGTTGGGGGAATGTGTTGGTCATAGAAACAGTCCTTCTTTACCTATATCCATCTTTCATGGTAAATATCAGTCAGTGCATCATGAAAGTGACTAAAATGAGCTGGAGCTCCATCATACATGAACCACATACATCTTCATATTAGCAGGGGTACATCCTCTAGCAGGTCTGGAAGTGTATTCAAAATAAAGTCCCTGTAGACAGCTTCTGTAATATGTGCTGGGAGAACATATGGACCTACTAGACAGTCACCTACAATTCCAACCCACACATTAATTGTACACTGATGTTGGTATCTAACCTGTATTATATCATGGCGATTCCAATCGGGCCACAAATGTTGGTTGTATAATTTTGTTATTCCATCTCTTTCAAATGTTGCCTAATCCATAAACAAGACTGAAGAGACAAACAATGGATTGGCAGTTTGTGCAATAAACCATTGGCAAAAGTTCTGTGGTAAGTTATCAGAGGGCAAAAGACTCTGCACATGTTGCAAATGATATGGATACAGGAGCTGCCCTTGAAGTACTCCCCATGCAGTACTATGAGATGCAGTACTATGAGATGCAGTACTATGAGATGTATGATATGTTAGATACTGGAATCATCTCTGTCAGCCTTTAAAATGTATTGTTCATGCTCAGGTGTACAAGCAGATCTCAGTCTTTCTCGATCCATAATTTGTGGTAGCATGGATCCTGTCTCAGTAACATGACAACAAACAGCAGCAAAGTTTGGATGACTCAGTTACCTTTGGTCTGGAAACACAATCTGATATGGCAATGCAGTCTCACGTCCATTACCATTCATGCAGCTGTATATAAAAATTATATCTGCCTGCTCACGATATGAATATCCTGCCATTGTTAAATTGAACACTTCTCAGTTAACTCACTACTACACATGTGAGATAGTGACGACAGATTAGTTACAAATGTACACGAATAACAAATGTAACCTAGTCTACATGGCAACACAGCCCCATCTACCAAAAACTTTCTTTAAACTTAATAACTCAAAAATGAAGGATTTGCAGACATGTTTATACAGATTTTTTTCCTTGCTTTCATGGAAGGAACCTACCACCAAAGTATTTTTGATACACCCTAAATATGGAAAATAAAACTGCAATACTCAGAAGTATGATGTCAATTCCTTTTTGTTTCCATTTTTTCCAAAACTTCATCACTATTCATGTTCAGTCCGTGGCATCCTCAGCTTCCTTCTGTAAAACCACTTTTCTCTTGCTTCAAGTTTCTTATTATTATTTGAGGAAATTATCCAGTATTCACTATGACATGATAGGACAGTTTAGTAATCTTTTTCTTGTTTCTAGTGAAATTTTTCTATTTCTTAATACTCTGTTTAGCTTTTGGAAGGCATCTTTGGCTCTGCCAATATGTCTTTGGATCTCCATGCCACTCTTTACATCCACTGTTTAAATACTTCTTCCCAGATATTTAAATTTCTTCTCTCGTTTGATTTTAGTATTTCCAATTTGCAATTTGCACTTTGTGTTCATCCTTCTGCTAACAACCATGCATTCTTTCTTCTTGCAGTTGATGTTTATTCCTTTCTTCTCACTTTCCATCATGTAGCAGTGACTTACTTCAGTGCCCAAATGGGCCAGAGTTGTGTGTATGTTTTGCAAATCAATGAGTTTTGGACGGACGATGAATCGGACAGCACATTGTGTTGATGGAAGTGGTGGTGTCGCATGTAGTCATTTTTATTGGCTGGTTCTGGGCACTCATTGGCTGAGTGTTGGCTGGGTCAAGTGTATAAAAACATGGTACACTCATTTAACAGGTGTTGAGACTGTCACTTGGGATGGTGAGGGGCATATTGGAGATCAAGACGAGAAGTGTGGATTTGTTTTGCTGAGTGAAACTATTGGATTCATCCTACTTTTCTTTTCCTGTGTGTGCTTCCAACCAATTTTTGCAGCATGTCACTACCTTCTGTGGGAGTTTTTGTAGCTTTGTTTCTGCATCTGCTATGAACACTGTGTCACGTGCATAATGTATGATGTTAAGATTTTGGCCACCAATGATGAATCCTGGTAGGATTTTAGTTTGCTCAGAATTGATTAACTGTATAGGTCGAATAAGTCTGGTGTGAAGACATACCCTTGTCTTACACCCGTTTCTATTTTTGTATATCTGCTAAACTCATTTTCTATTTATATGCAGGTGATTTGCTGCCAGTATAGGTTCTTGATTATTCTTATATCTTTCCCAAATATATCAAGATTGCTAAACAGTTCTAACAGATCTTGGTGGCATACATTGCACAATCTATAAAACATAGGTACATGTTCTTCTACATTTGTATTGCACTTTCTGATAACATAAATATCACATTCCTTGTTCCAGTCTCTTTGAGAAACCCATACTGTTCTAGTCTTATTTCAGGTTTGATTCTGCTTCAGACTCTATTCATAAGAATTTGGATTATCAGCTTTTTTATTGGCTCATTAAGCTGATTGTCTGATGGAGTTCATCTGGATTTTCAGGCAGTGCTATGAAAATAGATCTAGGTCTGCTTTATTTGTGATACCTATTCTTTCTATTTCTGCACATTTTTAATTGAACCATTCCTCTTTAGCTTACCTGCATTTGTTCTTTATTTTTCTGTGTAGTGTTCTATATTCTGTTCTGTCTTGGTATAGATTTTGTCTCCTTTTCATCATGTCAAGAATTTTGTCTGTCATTCATTTGTTTTTTTTCTTTTATCTACAATCCTTTTAGATGGTCTTGCTCGCTGCTGTTACTAAAGTTTCTCTTGAAGTGTCCCACAATGAGTTTCCATTTTCTTTTTGTTCTTCCTATCTGCTTTTCACAATGTCCACATATTTTTCATTCAGATTTGGCTCCTTCAAGAATCTGTCATATTGCATTTTGGTGCTGCCTTGGTTTTTTTCAATTTTCACTCTAATCTTACATATCACTGGAAGCTGATCACTATCACATTCGGCACTTGGATAGTGTAAAACTGCATTCCTGAATCTCTTGTTGATAGTCGATCTGGTTCTTTTTTCTCCTCCATAATTACAATAATACAACTTTTTATTGCCCAACATCTTCACCCTAGAAGTACACTATATTTAATAATCACACATGACATCTTAAGTTGCTAATCAGACAAATCTGTTGGTGTAAATTCTAATGAGAGAATCTTATTGTTTGCGTTTACCCTTTGTATATTTAAAGGAGAGTTTTGTTTCTCATATGACCAGCTTAATTGAACAAAATGAATCTTTCAACATTTTACTTTCATTCCAAGATGAAAGACAAGAATAATGTCTTGTTACTGAAAAAAGGTAAAGTATCTCTCAGTAATAAATATTTTCAAAGATATTTTGAATTAATTATTTTTATAATGATGATAACAAGACAAACCACACATTTATGAGGTGATTTTCTTGTGAAGTTTCTTTCTCATGATTTTCTTTTCTGTTTCTCTTAGTCTGTCTTTAAATCTCTTCTTCACTCACGTTCTTGCTTTTACCTTGTCTCTTTCTTAATTTTAATCTCAGCTTTTCATATATCTCCACACTCTCTTTCTCTCTCTCTCTCTATCTCTCTTTCAAACACACTTTCTTGTTTTCTTCTCACTTTTTGGCATTGTCTCTCTCACTTATTCTTGTTTCTCTCTCTTTTATCCCTTCACTCATTTTTTATTCTTGCTTTTAAACTCTTTCTTTGGTATATACTCTTTCTGTTATACACTTTCTTGCATTCTTCCTCACTTTCATACATTGTCTGTCACACTCTTTCTTGATCTCTCTCTTTCTCTTGTACATTGTTTCTCTGATTCTTATTTTAAATCTCTCTCTTTTGTAGCTTCCTTTTTTTCTCTTACACACACTTTATTGCTTACTCTCTGTTGTGTTTGGTAAAGTTCTCACAAACACAGTGTAGTCAAAAAAATAACTCTACTCATGAATAGAGAAACCTTCCCACTTATATACAATCTAACTTGCATGTCACTAAATCTCCCAGAACCTTAGTGGCTTCATGCCCTTGGTAGATCTAATACTACTATGAACCACTCCAGGAGGTGTACCTCTTGTCACATGGTGAATGCCTAGATTACTCTTCTTAGGGGGGGGATCTCGGTCTTACTGGATTTTATTCATTTGAACTTTCCTCATGTTCCTCATTATCATTAGACACACTCATTCTCTCTACCCTTTAACTCTCCTGTTCTTGGAGATAATTCTGATCCTTCTCTTCAGCACCAGGCTCTTCCTCCATTGCAATATCTACCAGCTCTCTTTTCAATCTAAACTGGTCTTTATGAGACACCCTGTGAATATTTTGTTAATATTGCTGTATTATTTTCAGGATTTGAATCATTATTCTTTTTGTATCAAACATTCTCATTTGTTGAGAAGTACATGGCTATTGGGGTTCTAATTTGCATCCCCATCTATATGAAGAGGCTTTGTGTTCTTCCTGCATGCTGGAAGGTCGTTTAACTTAAAAGTAATCTTGGTAGATAACTTTCTAGGCTGCAATTTCCTGGAAAGAATTCTTTCAATCCAACTTTTATCAACTGGACCATCCTCTCTGCAATTCTATGGCCTCCATCTATTTCATGTTAACCATGTATACAAGCTTCCTTCAGCAAACTCTGGTGCATTATCTAACACCAATGTTTTAGGTAACAATTCTTCAAAAATACTATTCTTAACACTTGTCTTACAGTACTTGCTTTTCTGTCCGAAACTTTAAACACTTCAGGCCAACCTGATTATGAGTCCACTAGTCTAAGGAATTGGCCTACATCTTTAATGCATGCATGATCCATGTGTACTCTAATCTATGGCTCCTTCTCTTTTGGCCATGAATGAATCTTGGTTTGCCTAAACCTCTTTATCTTTACACACTTAGGGCATTTTCTGACATAATCTTCCATATCTCGTATATACCCCAGCCACCAGGCTTGTAGTTTCAACCTCAGTGGTGTGTTCAACAGCACCATATATGTTGTCATGTACTGCTTTAATATCTTTTCTTAACAATTTTGGTGGTACAATAAGATATCCACTATATATGATGCCTCTTTCAATTGTTAATCTGTGCCTTGCTTCCTGAAAAGGCCTTTACACCACAATTGTCCAAAAGTCAAACCATTGTCAAAGGATTGTTCCATATATTATTCCGTATTCTATTCAGCACCCTTTTTAATAGAGGATCCTGGTTGGTTTCAAACTTGAGCCACCTGAAGGATAACACATCTGTCTCTACTAAGTGCAAAACTCTGTCTTCACAACTGTCCTTTGTTTCAACATTCTGGGTATTAAATTTCAATCTTGACAATTTGTTTACATGTGGAATGGCATTTCTTTTACTATACATAATGCAGAAATCAAATGCCATAAGCTTAATTGCCTCCCTCAAAATTCTGGACAAAGTGACTTTAGGCAACTCTTTCCTCAGGTTGAAAATGAACTCTAAGGGCTTGTGGTTTGACTTTTGTAGAAATTTCTTATCTAATAACAAATTGTGCACCTTTTCAGTATTCCAGACAATTTGCCAGCACTTTTTTTCAATGTTAGAATAATTTGTCTTCACTCCTGTCAATTTTCTGGACAAGTACATAATAGGATGTCCCTCTTGTGATAAGATCATTGCTATGGCATGTTTGCTAGCATCAGTAGTTAGTGTGAGTTCTTTTGTCGGGTCAAAGACCTTAACTACTGGCTTGTTTCTAAGTGCTTTCTTTAGGTTTTTGAAGGCCACTGAAAATTATTATTCTTCTTTTTCAAGTTCACAAAAGGTTCAATCATGTCACTATATTGATGTATTTATTTATTATAAAAGTTAGTCAGACCCAAGAAAGAGCCTAACCTTCTTATTTTTGCTGTACTTATGTCTGATATTTTGCTAATAAATTCTGTCATCTGGCCATATCCTTAGATATTTGATTTGCTAAGTATGAAATTTTCTCACAATTAAATTTATAATTATCTTGATTAATTGTCATGTCTGCATTACTGAATCTGCTCAGAACTTGTTCGGTTTTATTCTTTAGCTCCTCCTTAGTATGAGCATCAAAACCTCTCATCCTGATAGACAATGATGTTTTTTACTCCTTCCAAAACTTTCTCAATAGACTTTTGGAATATGAGGCTGGATGCTTTACTTCTAAACAGCAGATTAGTCCACTTTAGAAGACCTATAGGAGTGTTTATTTTGTTGACTTCTTGAAAATTGTTGTTAATTTTAATCTAATTATATGCAAATTTCAAATCAATCTTGGCAAAAAATTTAATGCCAGCAAACTAGTGACAGGCCATTTCAATATTTGGCAATGGGAAGAAGTCCAAACATATCTGATGATTTATATCAACTTTGTAGTCACTACAAATCCTTAAATCTCCATTAGTTTTGTGTATGTCCACAATTGGAGAAGCCCAATTGCTGACCTTCTCCAATATTCATTGTTCAATCTTTATTAAGTTTTGCCATAACCGCAGGCAGAAGGTGAACCCGAATTTTATGTGACTGAAAATCTACCGGTTGGCTATTTGCCTTTGAGCTGAACACTTGCCTCATAATCTTTTAAAAGTCCAATTTCAGGTTCTTCTAATTTCATGCAATTAATTAACTTTGAGGCGTCTATTCTTAATACATCAACCCCCAGAAGACCATGATATTTCATGCACTCCACAACTATGAATTGTATTACCTTGAATCATGTCTTCATCTTGAACATCCCCTCAAAGCATCCAAGTGTTTTAATAACTGACCTATCAAATTGTTTCAATTGCAGAATAGTCCTCCTTAATTTTGGTGTTCTCATTTTCTCCCCCAAATTCTTGTGCATTAATATCCACTTAAATTAGTACAGTTATTCCATTTACTTTTACTATTTCTCTATTCATATCTTTTGCTTTTACTTCATAAATTTCAGTGTTTCCTGTCAAAGGATCTATCTTCTCCACTTCTACTGATTTTTTGTTTTTTTTATATTTGCATACTGACTGGGAATTGCCCTTAAAACAAATCTTTCCAAAAGCTGAACATTTATACTTGTTCATATCATGTTCTTTGTCAAAAAGACATTTACATAAATACTCCATAGTACTATATGTCATGTTAGTCTTAGTGGTATTAAATCTCTGAATAAACTTTAGCTGCTGCAAAAATTCAAAACTAACTTCTGGACTTGCAGCTGTTCCAAAATTTTGTAGTTAATCGAGCTGACATACAGTCCATCAATTAACCTTAACTGTATTAATTCCTCTTCTATAAACATCAGTTCTGTACCCAATTTTTTGAATTCACAGTACCTTGATAATTTTTTATCCTGTCAACATACTGTCTAATGGTTTCATCTGGGTTTTGCTTGATTTCAAGAAACTTTGTCCTCTCAGCTATGACCAGTTTCTTTTTTGGACATAAATTTGCTTGTACAATGCTGGCAATTTCTTCAAATGTCAAGCCTTCTAGCATCTTTGGATAGACCATAATAGAGATCTTTTTTATGGTCTCACAACCTGCTGATGCTAGAAATAAATCCGTTACTTTATTTACTCCTCCTCTTTATTTACTCTCTCTTAATTACTTGACTCTTGCCAATGTCAAGAAACATCTCATCTAAGTCTCAAAGAAGCTCAAGATCCTCTAATGAAGTTAGATATCCTATCAGCGATGCCATGTTGTTGTGTTATTTAAAATTCTCATAATTACGCAGTGTAGTCAAGGAAAGATAACCCCACTCCCAAATGTAGAAACCTCATTTATATACAATCTAATTTGCATATCACCACACTCACTTTTGTACGTTGTCCCTCACACTCTTTTTTACTCTCTTTCTTTCTCATGTATTGTCGCTCTCTTTTTAACCTTAAATCTCTCTCTTACATATCTCCTCTCCCTCTCTTACACACACACACACACTTGTTTACTCACTTTTGTCTCTCTCCTTCTTTCATGCTTTCTCTTGTAACTTCTTTCTCTCTTGATTTAAGAGTTTTTGTCTCTCTCACACTTAAGCCCATGTCTCTCTCACACTTACTTGCCTTCTCTCTCACTTTTGTACTTTGTCTCATTCTTTTTTGTCTTCCCTCTCTCTCTCTCTTATACATTGTATCTTTCTTTCTTAATTTAAATCTCACTTTAATCTCAACTCTTTCTCTCGCACACATCATATTGCTTACTCTCTCATTTTATACATTAGTTCATCCACTCTTTCTTACTTTCTCATTCCTCTCTCTTTTTTCACCTTGCCTGTTTCTTTCTTCCTCTAAATCTCTTTCTTTGGTATCTCCTCTCTCTTTCTCTCTTTCATAATTTCTAGCTTTCTCTCTCACTCTTGCTTGTATATTTTATCTTTTTTTTCTTACTTTAAATCTCTATTGTTTTCTCTCTCATACTCTCTCTCTCACTTTTTTATGTTGTCTGTCTCTTACTTTAAATCTCTCTCTTTGGTATCTTCTCTCTCACACACATTCTCGCTTCACTCCCTTACTTTTTTCACATTGTCTTGCTCATTCTTTCTTGTTTTGTTTTTCTCTTTCTCTTGTATTTTGCCTCTTTCTTCCTTGATTTAAAACACTTTCTTTGGTATCTCCTCTCAGTCTCTCTCTCTCTCTCTCTCTTTCTCTTTGTCTGTCTGTCTGTCTGTCTCTCTCTCTCTCTCTCTCTCTCACACACACACACACACACTTTCCTACATTCTCTCTCACTTTTCAACCTTGTCTTTATCATTCAATCTTGCTTTCTTTCCATTTCAGTGAATTTATTTTTTAGTATGTTCCTGGTTTAGTAATTTTAAAATGCAACAGGCACCATCAAATAGTTGGTATTTTCTGTTCAGGTTAAGTGATCACAGAACTCATAAAATATCGTCTTTGTAGCAAAAAACATTAAAGTTTTTCAAGGCTGTTGCACTTCTGACTTTGTGACTCATCTAATTCTTTGTTTTCCATCATCGCTGTCAGATGATATCTTTAGTCAAATCAATTAGAATCTTTGTATGGCAAAGAAATTGGGCAAAATTCTTAACTTGCACATCAATCCAGGTTAGAAGAATTATTGGTAAATCAGTTGAATCTAATTTGGAACATTTTTAAATGGTTTAAGATCAAGGATGAATTGAAGCATTTCAAGCCAAAAGAATCAAAGAAAATTTAGTAGAAACAATGAATATTTGAACACAGGATCTTCTTTTATTTTTATGGACAAACACATCCATCTACTAATAGACAATATACCATTCTATATATATATATATATATATATATATATATATATATATATATGGACTCTCCCATCGTATTCAACATATGAGGGTCGAGCAACTCATTTACTAGGAACTGACAGCCAGACAGCAGCACATCTGATTTGATTATTGTGGTGAAGACTGCAGAACCAACCACACTTTTGGAAGGGCTGAATACAGAGACCTGTGCCACAAGGTCCTCAAATGACCCTCCCCACAGTTGTCCTTTTCCTAGACCAATTGCTATAGAACTCAGTTTGTCCTGCTATTTACCCATAGCTGGAGTGAGAAGAAGAGGATTAATACCTTTCCCAAGGGTATTAGCATGTAAGTGAATGTAATGGATTCAACTGAAATTGGAATGGCTCTCTGATTTCTCAGTCTGAGCCACTATCCACTACTCCACCGCTTTGAGTAGATATGAATGTATGTGAGAGATTCATGGAAGATTGAAGTTCAAATACAGTAAATTCAACCTTGCTAACTGATCGCTCCTCTGTGGCCAAATCGGTTAAAGGGATGTCAAGCTAAATGGTGGTTCTCTATAGGATACAGGTTCAAATCCTGTCGGAGTATGAATATTTTCTGTGAAAATTTCTCAGACATTCAGGCCAGTAAATGTTGTTTATTACTGTTTATTATAAACAGAGCATTTACTTGAATATTTGTATCTATAAAAAGAATATATAAACATAAAAATGTCTTAAAATAATTGTTGAACTTTGTCCAGTTCATAATATATATATGTGTGTGTGTATAAGTATAGGTTAACAATTTCCATAAAAGACTTAATCTCTATCCCACCCATTAGGGCAATCGAATGTAGCTGTACATTTTTCGGTAAACACTACTGTTAAGAAACTAGTTTTCATGTAGTTCTTCTTTGATTTTATTGATGATACTCAGTTGCATATTTTCTCTTCCCTGCTTTATTAAAATGCTAATTCTTTTCTCAAATCTCTTTTTGTAACTTTTTTTTCTGATTCTCAGTAATTTTTGATTGTTCTTTGGTTTCTTTTCAACTTCTCACAATTTCCAAAGTTGTTTCCTGATAAACTCATCTTTAAAATATGTTCTCTTTTGAGATTATATATTTCTTATGGCCTCTGGTAATCTTAAGATAACTTAAATAGAAAATAAATATCAATAGACTATATTCATATGCGTATATATATTTATTATGTTATAGAATAAATAACCATTAACTGAAAAAATGATGGAATGGTCAAAAGTATTTGAAATATAAGTTTGGCAAATTAAACTATAAGTTTCCACCTAACATCAAGTAATTTATTTAACACCTGTAGAAACTTGCCAAAAGAGTTAACAGATGTTCTTGGTTTGATTCAATAGAAGTTTCTGAAACGAAAAACATGAAATGAAATATTTTCTGTTTAACACCACACACACTTACACATACATGCATGTGAAATATATTTTGTATACACAAATACATACACACACACATACATACACACACATACACACACACACACACACATATATATATATATATATATATATATATTCAAATATGCTCTGTTAAATTAAATAGAAAAAATTTATTGAGCCTTTAGGTGAGTTTCTTCTTCTGTTCAATTAGCCACTTAATTTAAGGTTGGGCATACAATGTTTCTCTGCTACACTGACTTCAAAAAAATGATTAAAAGTCCTTGAGGTCCTTCACATTCAAATTAAGTAACTTACTCTTAATAAAATTTGTTTCAATCTAAGTGTTCAGGTGTTAAAATGCCTTTAAACTGTAAAGTCATATTTGCCACATGCTAAATTTTATTTTATAAGACATGAAACCTTTTCCATTTAAAACTTTAAATTGACATCAAGGCAAAACTCATACAAGCGCTTTCTATACTCTTAATTTTCTTTCCTTGAAAACAAGCAATGACTGTCTATGGTCCAAAGTCTGCAGATCTTTGGCAAGTTTCTTTACAAGTTTCCAAATGTATTGACAAAATTAAATATGTTGAAATGAAGAGTTACTACCTAAATGTTATTCTTTTATGTGCATTGTTGTTCCTTCAGGGCATGGGCGGTGATGGCTCTCCACAATTTCTTATTTTTGTAGCACTTAGCAATATTTGTTTGTTTCCCTTCTACCACTCTTACCTTCAATATTTTCTGTGAGTATCAAATTCTCCAAGCCTTTTTTTCTCATTATGCATCCCAGAAATGTCAACTGTCAAATTTTCATTCTATATAAAAGTGTCCTTTTTGTTCCTATTTTCCTTTAAAATTCTTCATTGCTCACATATCTATCCATGGTATTCTCAGCATCCTTCTGTAGAATCTCTGTTACCTCAAGTATCCTCATCACATAGGAGGAAATTGTCCAGCATTCATTGCCATATTAGAGGATTGAAGCTACATAGCAGTTCAGCCCTTTTCTTTGTTTCTAACAAAATTTCTGTTTCATATTTTTAAAATATATTATGTAAGGGTCTCTAATGTTATCAGACAAGGAAACCACCAGCCTTTCTTCTTTGTGTCTTTTCTCTCTGTATATTTTCATGGTAATTGTTCTAGTGAGCTTTCCTCTTTAGTATCATAGTATGATACTAAGGAGGAAAGTATACTAGTATGCTTGGTACCTTAGAAAGATACCAGTATGCTTAGTAACTTAAGTGTACTACTAGGTTGATAATTAGGTCTAATCATTTTACTGTTGAACTAGATAGATGTAATCATAAGTTCCAGTATAATAGTTTTGTTTCTTGCACTTCTTACCTGTGGGACTCTCTTTTGATTTCTTATTTCCCTGCCACCATCAATCTTCAAAAATTTAAAGGCAACATCAATCGCCATCTTCTGTCTTCCTGTTCTCTTTGTCCTTTCTCCTTACTAATGCCTTGTTCATTCTCTTTCACTCACTAAAAAGTAAAATAATGTGTAATAGTTAAAGGGGGCAAGACTACACCAGAAAGAATCCATCATGTATTCTTACGTATTGACTTCTCACTTAATTTATGCAGATCTTGATCAGGACATGTAAAGACAAATCAGCCAATCAACATAAAGACAAATACTAATGATCAATACAAAAATACCAAAAATACAATAACCTTAACCCATTGCAAGGAAAGACTCAAGACCCCCAAAGCTATTATTACAGAAAAGAAACAATCCACATTAAATAAAATATCTTTCACCACAGTACATGTCATCTTGAAATGTGTATGAAATATTAATATACAAAAATAAAGACATAATAACTAATACATTCTTTTTGGAGTTGTGTCACACAACTCTCATACATAACATCATTTTGAACTGATTAAAAAGTTTTCACCTATGAAATACCAAGATATAGCCATTAACAGCACAGGGTTCTTGATAATGACTGAAATGGTCAAAAATATTTGAACAGTATTGAAGAACAACAATTTTGACTTTTATATAGATCATTTTCTTAAAAAATTTGAAACGTACAATAAGAAATTAAACAGACATATATGTGTGTGTGTGTATTTAGGCAGAATATCTTCATTCAAAAATGTTTCATTGAATAATAAAGACATATTGTATCTACTTATTTTTATAGTGGTCCTTTCCAGTTGACTTGGAAAAAAACTATGGTGCCTTCCTTGAAGAATCAGTATATGAAAAAAGACACAATATGTGTATATTATTCAATGAAATATATATATGTGTGTGTATATATATATATATATATATATATATATATATATATATATATATATATATATATATATATATATATATATATATATATATATATATATATATATATATATATATATATATATATATATATATATATATATGGAGGCACGGTGGAGCAGTGGTTAGCGGCTTGGATTGAGGAATCGCAGAGCCGAGTTCAATTCCAGTCGAACCCACTGCATCCACTTACGTGCTAATACCCTTTGGGAAAGGTATGTATCCTCTTCATCTCCCTCCAGCTATGGGTAAAATAGCAGGACAGACTGGGTTCTATAGCCTTGGATGGCAACTAGTCTAGGAGAAGGACAACTCTGAATTCAAAACCTGGAGGGTCATTTGGAAACCTTGTGGCATGCATTCGGTGCACCAGGTTTCTGTATTCGTCCTCCAAAAAGTGTGCTGGTCCTGCACAAGGCCTTCACCACTATAAACAAATCTCATGTGCGGTGTCGGGATGTCGGTTTCCTGGGGACTTATCGGCCTGACCCTCATACGTCGAACGCGACGGGAGAGTCGATTATATATATATATATATATATATATATTCATATATATATTTCAATTGTATGGATATGAGTTTGTAGCTCTGGGTTTCATGCTTTTGTGATCATCAGATGATTGCAAAAGCATGAAACCAAATGTTGCAAACTCATATCCATAAAACTGAATATTTTAGCTCTATCACTGATATTGAACACTTTCCAGTAAGTATATGTATAAATGTAAAAAGTCCATGAAACTGAGCATAGATTTATATATATGTGAATTGGTTTTTATCTTATTATATTATTAATAATAATATAATTATCTATATCTATATATCAATATCTCAATCTATAAAA